ATTCAGTTGAAAGTATATTAAGGATAAATTATATAATAAATCCACTTAAATATGCCAGTTTTGCAATATAAAAAAACTTTTTGATATTTGTACGGGCTGCGCGTTATTTCGAGATAAAGAGCCAATTTCAAAAATCGAATGTTACTATATTATAAATTCTAATATACAGTCACACCCCTCTAAGTGCACGCCCTTGGGACCATAGTAAAAAAAGGCAAATTGTGCACTTAGAGGGAGTGTGCATTTAGAGGGGTTAAAATTTATGATTGTTATATTACATCAATTTCGTACAAATGAACATTTGATTTACGATATCTTGTGGTATGGCAGTCCAATTTAGATGATTTTGGCACCATTCAAATCGTCTCATCGAGAGGATTCGATTGGTACCAAAATTATCTAAATTAGATTACTAGATCACGAGATATCATGATTTAATCAAACTTATTTTGTCAGGTTTGAATGTCACTTTGTACGAAATTGAATGTTCTTTTGTTGTCAAAAGGGATATTTGGGACCAAAAGGAGTTAGGAGTTTTTCATATACCGTGCACTTAGGGAGTGTGCACTTAAAGAGGTGCGACTGTATTACAATTTTTAGGGCTCGATTTATGTCCTCTATCTCGAGAATTTACAGTAGTAAATTTATATAAAGTTTAGATTATTAATTAAAAATCTTATAACCTCACGTATATGCTAATCTATTAAAATTGAACAAGATATAGTGGATACCTTTCTAAGATGTTTAAGCAATTTTAAAATGAACTTTGAGCTAAAATAAAAACTACGATGGTTTAATTTTAAGGTTTACACCTGATCTTAAATTTTTTTATTTTTATTTTTGGATTTAATAAAGCAATTGCATTTACTATGTAAATTTCTATTTATATTCTAAACATAAGTATAACATACAACATTATATTAAATACATTAAGTATAAATTTATAAATATAATTATGACCTGTTTTTTTGTCCTACTTTATGACTAATTGGTAATAAAGTAAATCTAGCAGCCTGTGGCGCGACAGCTAATATGTTATGATAATCCTGTAATACAACTCCTTATTACCACAGGTATCAGAATTAATCTAAATTCTTCAGATAAAAAAAAAAAAAATTGCGTAATTTTGATACTTACATATCAGTAATCTTCGGATTTAATTGAATTAAAAACCCTAACATAATTGAACTCCGGGTATAATGTCTCTCGACATTCTTATCAAGAAATGGCTTAAATATTTCAAAATCTATTGGATCAATCTAATTGCGAAAATACATATATGTTATTTCATATAATTCAAAAAAATTCAGTTTCAAAAAAAAAAAAAAAAAAAAAAGGCATACTTTAAGTCTAATTGCCTCCAAAATTTGATTTGCCATTTGTTCTCTTTGTTTATATGCTTGAATATCATCTTCAACGTCAACCATGCTTGAAGACCAACAACTTTCAAAAATTTTTTTCAAAAATTTAATATCATATAATAATTATATAGCACTTTTTTCAGAAACATTTGTGAATTGAACAGTATCCGAAACAAACTGCGTGTATAAGTCAAGAAACTTGATAAATATTGTGTATAAAGGTCATTTATTACATTCTTGTGATGAGAAAATTAAAGGTTAGAAGATTAAACGTGGGAAAACATATGCAGCAATAAATATAAAGCATACCTCGTGTAATGTTGGACTGCCAACACGATTGATTTCCTGACAAGCATTAAACAAACTGTTCATAATTGTGGTTGATGGTTGTGAAGGCAACTTCATTTTATTACCTTCTTGACCCTGTACTGGATCTTAAATAGTTACTTCTATATATAAAAATACGCTTAAATTTTAAGTTTCTTGTTCGGAATTATTGTTTTTGGGGCTTACCTTCCCAAACTAATGTTTGCACATTGGCTTCATCCCAATGAGTATTAGATAACATTTTAGAAATAGTAACTTGTACATTATGAGTGATCCATTTAATCCATGGCTGATGAGCCGGGAAATAAACATCCATTAAGGTCTGGCGTAAATTTACTAGGCGTGAATCTAAGTTTCATATGGTACAAGCCGAATGAATATGGCATCTTGCGTAAGTGTTAAAATTTTATCAACATATCACTAAAATATACAACGAACCTAACGATGATGGCGATGATGAAAGGCGACTATTTAATTGATTTACTTTTTTCTCCTTGATGAATACCAATTGCAAAAGTAAAGGCAGCTCTGTAGACTCGTACACAATCGTATATGCAATACGGCCAATAAGCAATCGTTTAGCCAAATAAATAAATCAGATAACATAAATAAATAATTCGAAATGAAAATGAATTATTAATTATTAATTATGAAATAACATTACAATTGTTTACTGCTATGGCTTGAGAATCTTCATTTTTATCACTTGTATCAACCTCTTCCAATAAACTATCAAGCTGGTTACGATAAGATGTAACAGAACTTATAATTGTTTCTTGAAAGAATGCGGATAAATCCTCCGTATCACTAAATAGAGCAAGATCCTAGCTTTGTTAGGTATGTTTGAAATGAGAAATCCTACGTTGATCAAACGAAAAATACCTATTGGCATTAAACAATTCACCACTAGAAAACTCATCTAGAAATATATCATTAGTACGACCGTTCCCTGATAAAGCAAATATTGGTTCCATATCATCCTTAATATCCTTTAAATTCCACTTTAGCATCGTTAACAAAGGATGTTTGTCCAGAGACAAGGAGCTCTATTCGATTTTTGAAAACTGATGCAGTATTATCGTGAGGCTTTGAATTAAAAAATGTGGACCCATGCGCCCAAATAAAATTTCCAAGATGTCTTTCTGATTTTTGATCAAACATAGTCATAAGAATATATTTCTTAATCATTATGCGTGATTTTTTACCTTCATTATTAGGATCTTCAAGATTGTACAATCTATTTTTAAGCAACTTTTCTGGTTGTTTAGATAATTCAGCAAACGAAGACATTATAATATCTTTGAATCGTTTGTTGAAACCATTCCTTAACAAATCATTTCAAATAGAAAAAGGTTTGTGAAAAACAAGATGGCATGTCTATATAATACATTAACATATATGTTACCAAACAGTAAAACTCACAAAAAACCAATTAAGGATAAAAATTTCAATATTTACAAGATACCAAGGCAAAGCTGTCTTTTTTAAGTTCAGTTCAAAGCCCAAACTAGTTCTATGAACTTTACTTGGAAACTTTTTAAACAAAGATTGATTCTCCTCTTTAATGCATTCATCTTCTCTTAAAATTTCCCAAATTATTTTCCTTAATTCATGCAACTCTTTTGCACAAGGTACTTTTGATAACAAGGTATCAAGTTTTTCATGGAATTGTTCAACAATTTGGTCTACCCATAAATTCATTCGCGTTGTAATATCATCTTGTGAAAGTTGGCCACGTGTACCAGACATATGTAAAAAAGGAGTAAATGTTTGAATTGATTCAGGAAGGTAACGTACAAGTAGGTGTATATTTGTCGAAGGCGAATATAGACGGGTTAAAGAAGCTTTTGAATCACGCGGAGACATCAAAGCAGGAGATGGCTGCGCAGAATCTTCATAAATAGTGAATCCTTGTTGTAGTTGATGCAGATATGATTCAAATAATGATTGTTCATTGTCTGCACTAATGAATACAGAACCAACATGATAAACAGTGCCTCGGATAAGACGAATCATTTCCTTGAACTGTTCCACCATTGATTTTGTATCTTTTGCTTCAGACTTTTCTAAAATTTGTATCAGCGCTGATGTTCGCATATCAAGACATTTACGAAATACATCTTTTTTGGTCACATCGTCCAGCAACATTATCGCGCAAAGCGTTTCTGCAAGACTCTTTAAATAAAAAAAAATAAATAAACAATGTAAGTGTGCCAGATTATCAGGAGTACAGGACATTAATAATTATAATTATTGCAACCTGCTCAGATTGTTCAATAACTTTTAAATATAGCGTGGCTTTTTGAAGAATTTGAGCTTTAAAGTGACTGACGGCATCCCATTGACGTTGAACAACCGGGAAAGTCACCTAAAATTTTAAATATAGAATTTGAAAAAAAAAATTCAATATTTGAGATAAATCAATTATTTGAGAGATATTAAGGCATATATATTTTTATGCTATTACCGACACATTGAAAGGTGAATCCTCATTATGAGCTTGAAGATTTTTATACACCAACTTTGCAATAAGGTACAAACGACTAGCATTTAAATATTTATGGCTTTCTAAAGATCGCCAAATCTATAAAAAATATTAATAGGATTAATATTATAATAATTTATATATACAAATTTAAATTGTTATTAACCTGTTCTGGAACGTCCACCAATAATTTGATTTGTGCAGCTGATGAATATAGGTGATGCTTCTTTTCATCTTGATAGGATTAAACAGAAATTTAAATTTTCAAAACCATCTAAGCAGAAACTTAACACAATAACTGTATAGTAACTATATAGTTATGATTAAATTTAACAATAACTATATAATTACTATACAGTTATTTTATTAAGAGATTTCTGTAAAGATCATATAAAAGAAATCATTAAGTCACACCTTTTGTTCCCTTCTTATCTTCATTTATTTGAGCTCTAACAGTGCTTTTCAGAACATTAACATCACAAGAATCTTGCATGTGATGTAATTCTTCTTGAATAGATAAGGCACAATGACGCATGTTAACTATACTATCAGCCGCATCGATCAGGTCACGATATCGTTCACTAAAGTGTAATAAATTAATAATTTGACCTTTTAATGATAGTCGGAATGGAACGGAACCTTACTGATCTTGTTCTTACCCAACCATAAGCCTTAATTCCTGTTTTTTTTCCTCAATATCGGATCTATTACGTATTAGCACCTTATTTTTAGTACTATGGCTTATTTTTTTATAACGATAAAATAGCATTAATAATTTTTTTAGCTTACCTTGTTCTTTTTTCAAGAGCACGTAGCTCGGGAATACTATGCTTAACAAAAAGTTCATCCGCACTAGTAGAAGAGTTGTATTCGGCATGAAAATTATAATTTGTCAACTCTGTGCTCGGCATTATTGAAAGGTATGTAAGAATTTAAAAAACTTGAAAATTATCTGTTACATAACAGATAAAAATACACATTGTGTTACACGATTGATTAGTTATACGATTGCGATTGATTACGATTGATTGTACGATCATCTCGGAATCTCGGAAGTATTCGGAGCTTTTCACTTTATAAATTTACACGGCATTTAACAGTAATGCATCCCTTTTTGGATAATATATCGAAATGAAAACAAGTCGTATGGACCCACAAGCTTCGAATTCCTTTCGCCATAGGTTTACTTTTGTTAATGGAATCACTTATCGTAAGATTTTTATGTCAATTACATAAAATTTTATTATATCATTTCTTAAATTCCTATATTTATCTTCAATGGCAAAAAAAAAAAGATTATGTAGACGAAGGTGAAGAAAGAAACGATGCTATAATATTATGCCATGGGTTTCCAGACTTGTAAGTATGAATGATTCCCAAAAAAAATTATTATTTTTTGTCACAATTTTAATATATTTTTAGATGGTATGGCTGGCGTTATCAAATTCCTTTCCTAGTATCCAAGGGTTTTAGGGTAATTGTACCTGACCTTCGAGGATATGGTCAAACAGTATGTATTCATTTAGTGTTCCTATGAACCTGAACTGAACTGAACTTTGGTCAAGTTCAGGTTCAGTTATGTTCAGTATTGAACTTTTAAGTCAAGTTCATGTTCAGTTCAGGTTCAATTCAAAGTTCATGAACATGTTCAAAGTTCAATGACAAAATATAGTAAAATTTTCGAATTTGAAATTTTTTAACTAGA